GGGTGAAAAGCCATCACCACGCTCACCCTTTTTTGTGGACATGGCCTAGAATATTCGGTGCGCAACACTCACCACAAACACATATAGTGGGGTGAAAAGCCATCACCACGCTCACCCTTTTTTTTTGTGGACATGGCCTTCATATTTCGGTGCGCAACACTCACCACAGACACATATAGTGGGGTGAAAAGCCATCACCACGCTCACCTCTTTTTGTGGACATGGCCTTCATATTTCGGTGCGCAACACTCACCATAGACACATATAGTCGGGTGAAAAGCCATCACCACGCTCACCTGTTTTTGTGGACATGGCCTTCATATTTTCGGTGCGCAACACTCACGATAGACACATATAGTCGGGTGAAAAGCCATCACCACGCTCACCCGTTTTTGTGGACATGGCCTTGAGATTTTGGTGCGCAACATTCCCCATCATTACGCCAAACCGAAAAGCCCGGGCGCCAGCGCGAGCTGCGCACAGCCGCTGTCTTGCTCCGCGGCATTCGCCGCGGAGTCCAGGAGACGCCCCACGCCTCCCCCCCCGGCTGTCGGCGCGCGCAGCCGCATACTTCACCTCAGCCTCTGGCGCAGCTGCTGTGAGAGCGACAGCTCCGACCACCTCCACTGCAACAAGGATGTTGCAGTGGAGGAGGTCTGCTTCCATCTGCTCCTCCAGGTTTCTTCAAACAAAAACGTACATAGGTAGATAGATAGATAGATAGATAAAAAAGAAAGATAAATCGATGGAGAAGTAGACAATTTAGATATTAACACATTGCAAACTCAGAAGATACATGGCTATTTTTTGGAGAGGATACCAGCTCAGATCACACGCAAGCTGGCTACGCAATAGGTTTTACCACTCATGAGCTTGATGAAAGTTAACGAGGCATGTTGGACCCCTGCATCTTGCAAAAGCTTGAATCAACTCTTGCCGCCAAAGCCCAATCTCCATGGCATGCCGACAGCACCTACACCAGTGCCTGGGGATTACCAAGCGAGGCAAAGTGATTGAGTGAGCGAGTGCAAGATTGGGATGACTGGGACCAAAAAATCATCTCCTTTGGGAAGCTTCAGAACCGCCAGATGTCACATTATACGGAAGCTTTGTCCTCTACAGAGCAAGAAGTGCAAAGGTATGTTGGCTGGTCGAAAGGGCAAGTGGACAACGCCGACGGTTGCCTGAAAGATTTGGGTTTCTTTTTGTTGGCGATGGAACAGGGCAGCCGTGAAGAGTTGCCGATCATTCCTGGATCAGATGTGATCAGGCAGTTCAAGAGTTCATAGATGGAAAGTTTTGAATGTGGTGTATACAGGGCATCTTGAGGCGTTGTCTGTTCTTGTTTTTGGTTTTTGATGGGTCTTGGAGCCACAACATCCATATCCCTCAGTCAAGATAGGAGAACCTTAGTCACGCCGCGACAATAGAAAAGGAGCTCCACTGCGCGATCCCGGACGATTGGAAAGCGAAAGGCCAAGGTAATAAGCGGTTTGCTATCAACAATTGTATATGATGGTGAGTATGCAGGCTGGTGAATAGCTAATGCAGGTCATTCCCGGGCCTTCATGGCTGTTTTTTCTTTTCATATCCCACAGGTTACAAGTGAAAGTCTGTGTGTGTGACCACTGTTTTTGCAATGGCAGACATTCCAGCAGATGCGGTTAAACAAGTGGACCAAACCATAGCCTCTACAGAACCTGCCCTGCTGAAAGTGAAAAAATCAAGAAGGCGCTATTGAACCATGGGCTTGCTTATGAACATTGGGCAAAGCCTTCAGACATGCTGGTCCATCCTTCGGGCAAGGCCTTGGGCATTGGGATGTTTGGAGCAAAGGAAGAAAAAAGAGGATAGATAGATAGATAGATAGATAGATAGGTCGATAGATCGATAATCGATCGATAGATCGATAGCTACATGGATAGGTAGATAGATAGATACATAGCCAGATAGACACATCGACAGATACAAGGAAAGATACTAAAAATAATAGACGGATATATAGGTGAATAGAAAGAAAAAATAGAAATAGATAGGTAGGTAAATATCAAGATAGACAGATAGATAGATAGATAGATAGATAAGATAAAATAAAAAGACACATCCAATAGATAGACGAAAACATCGGTATTGGTAGATAGGTTGAGAAAGATGGTTTGGCTCCTGGGTATCCCCGCTACCCCAGGGGGTGGGGGGGTCGGACCCCCAACAGAAAATGGATTATCCATGTTTGACCCTGATGATGCATTCGCAACGGTCTAAAACAAGCGAGCGTTGGGTTGTATATCTTGTTACATCGAGCGTTAAGTCAAAGACACAGACCTTGATTTACATTGCGTGGACGCGTTGCCTAATACACTGCATGGACGCGTTGCTTACGCCCGCGGGGCGTAAGCGATGCGGACCCTCAGAGAGCTCCGAGCAGTGGGACCGCGTTGCCGTCCAAAAGGTCGCGTTGCTTCCGCCCGCGGGGCGTAAGCGATGCTCCTTGTTTTTTGATTTTTGGCTACATTCAAAGCAAGACCATCATATTCAATCATGCCAGCATGGTCAAGTGAATTCAGACGGTTCACACGATCTTGGCACTTTTTTTTCTTTCCCTGTGTGGGAAAGCCATCAAAAGTCTTGAATCTGGTGGGCACCCTGGCATCTCCATGCTCAGACTTGTATTCAGTGAGCTTGCTGAAGCCTCTTTCCCATTCAACCGCGTCGCTTGTCAAAATTTCTCGGGGCCACGCGGAGATAAAACTGGAAACATGTTGGCTGTGTAAATGGAATATTTAAATGGAATTCCTAAAGGTACACCCTTCTCGATCCTCCATTTTCGAGGAGGGGGGATTCCTGGGTGACCTGGAACTCCTGGGCAAGGAGTCCAATGCCCTCGCCGTGCAGGCCGCTACTTGGTGGCGCTGCAAGGCAAAGCGCTGCGGGCGACCACCGCGGTTTTGTTAGTCTTGCCAGGAAGGCGGCCGCCATGCTTTAGCTAACAGAGTACTTGGGCCAAAGCTATCTGGATATTAGGAATGACTGACTTTTTTTCTGTTCCCGGAAGCATGGCAGAAAAATCACTTGGATAACTTACACTCAGATGCTCACACGTGGATATACAATCACTTGGATACTTACTCTTGCATACGTGCACTTGGATGCTGACATGCTATTGGAGATATTCACTTGCGATAGTCATGAAAAAGATTTCCTCATGAGATTTCCTATGTAAATCACAGGAGAAACTCAGTCAGGAGATTTCCTATGTAAATCACAGGAGAAATTCACTTGTGATAGTTATGGGAGATTTCCTCATGATTCACATGAGAAAGTCACTTGCGATAGTCAGGAGATTTCCTATGTAGATCGCAGGAGAAATTGACTTGTGATAGTCATGGGAGATTTCCTCATGAGATTTCCTATGTAATTCACATGAGAAAGTCACTTGTGAGATTGCTCATGAAAAAATCATTCCCTCAACTTTCTAATTCTCTTTAAAGGAGAAAAAGGGCTGAGGAGTGAAGATTTCTAGAGAAGAGTCAGCAGTAGAGATTTCGAGAGAAAAGGGCTCAGAAGTGCAGATTTCTAGAGGGAAGGGCAAAGAAGTGGAGATTTCAATGGAGAAAGGGGCTCAGAAGTGGAGATTTTAAAGGGGCTCAGAAGTAGAGATTTCTAGAGAAGTAGAGATTTCTAGAGAAAAGGGGTCAGAAATAGATCTAGAGAAAGTGCTCAGGAATAGAGATTTTATAGAAAGGTTCAGAAGTGGAGGCTTCTAGAGAGAAGAGCTCAGAAGCAGTGATTTTGAGAGATTCGGACCACATTTTGAAGGAAAGAGGTCTGAAACCTAAGTTTCGGGCCACATATTTCCCGAGAGCGTCTGCGAAGGGTTCTTCGTAAAAAACAGCTGCGCAACTACATCTCATCTACATCTTCACATCTGCACATCTACATCTTCACATTTGCACATCTACATCTTCACATCTTGACATCTGCACATCTACATGTCTGCTCATCTTCACACCTGCACATCTACATCTCTGCTCATCTTCACATCTGCACATCTACATCTCTGCTCATCTTCACATCTGCGCATCTACATCTCTGCTCACCTTCACATCTGCACATCTACATCTTAGCTCATCTTCACATTCGCAGATCTACATCTTGGCTCATCTTCACATCTGCACATCTACATCTTAGCTCATCTTCGGCTTTTCCTTGAGCCAAATCAAAGGTTTGTGCGTGTCATCCTATGCAGGGGCGCTTGGCTTTCCCCATGAGCATTGGTTCACGAAACTTGGTACACTTCTCAAATTTGTACTCTTGATGAAAACACAGTGCAATCCATTGATCACAGAATCAAACATCGAACCGATAGCATGGAATTGAAACATCAACCGCACCGATAAACAAATTGAAACCGAAGCATCGAACCGATAAAAATGGAAGCAAGGCCAAACCGAACCGAAACCGGATCTTTTCAACTCATGTATCCTCCACTCCTTTTTGGTCTCTCATCTCCAACGTCCCCCGAGTCCGTCCCAACGTCCCACCGAGGGGCGACCAATCGCGTCGCTGCGGGTGAGAAGCTCTTCCTCCCCGTCTCCTCGCGGCCGAGAAGCAAGCAGCTCTTGTTCAAGCAGTGTCGGAGGTATTTCTGTGGGAAATGATGGTGTAAGCCTAAGCCCGCAGGCGGATAAGGCTGATAGGTCTGAAGTATTTCACATTTTTGTTGATGGACGTTGGCAGTTCTCATGTCAGAAAGGAGGAGTACTGCACATGGCCGAGCGGCCACTTGGAAGCAACAACGTTTTCGGGATTCAAAAGGAGCAACTGGATCTGCCGCACAAAGCTTCTGGCACGTGGCCCATAGTCACTGTCAAAGCGGAACATTGTTGTTAAGCCCCCTTAAGCTCTGCTTTTCGGGCGCCCCCATAGGCTGACCAATGTTTTCTTCACCAATTGGCTGACCAAGGAAACTGGGGTTGAATCCCAAGGGCCTAAGGAACCAATTTTGGAGTCCCCCAGGACTCTAAGGTGTCTATAGTAGTATTCCTAGCCCCTAAAGAAATCAATTCGTTTTTAAAGGTTCTCCAGAAAAAAGCAACACCGCCCCCTACCCCTCCACTCCCCATTGGCTCCGAGCCATATCTTCGGTTTGGGGCTTCGGTTCAGCCCTTCGGCCACCGGCTCCTAGCCCCACGGCTGCACAGGCCAACAGCCTCGGCGAAATGGGTTGGCCAGGTGTCCCCAAAAAAGGGAGGGAGGGCGAAGCTGGTCGAAGAGAGGATGGAGGGTGGGTCCGTCACTGGCAATGACAGAGTCAAAAACCGGAGCTCCATGGAGCTCCTCTGAAAGGTTGCCTGTTCGAGGCTCGAGGTGGTCATTTCTTGTTTGAACAGTTGGATCCATTAGCCCTAGCTGGCGCCTTTCGTAAGCCAGATGCAGGCAGTGTGATCTCTTTCTTAGGGGGAACCAAGCTCATCTGTCAGATTCCTCAAAAGGGGTGGATGCTTCTACACACACACACACACCGTACTTTGAAATCGGCCAAGACATGCAAGTCACAACTGAACCAGAAACATCCAAACTTCTCTTTTGTTGCATGCCTGAGCCTGAGGGAGAGAAACTGAGTCCAGTGTTCTCACAAGAAGTGTCTGTGCAAAGAGTGAAAGAATCCCATCCAAAGAACTGAAGGAACTGAGATCGTGTCACCATCTTTTTGACGAGCCTGGGAGGATGGAAGATCTTGCTGGTACATCATGTGTTGCTTCAATGGAAGCAATATTAGTTATGACATATTATGACAGTATACCAACTGGATGCATCCTGCCTCCCACTTCACCAGCCCCCGCTTACACACCGCTTTCGCCCACGGGGGGCCTCCCACGGCCGCCCACGGCGGCCCAAAGGGGCCCTTCTCTTTGAGCCGCGGGGCGCCAGTCGCAGCAAAGGCCGCAGGAGGGTCTCCAGCGGCGACAGTAAATCTGTGAAGTGCTTCAGCACCTGGTGGATGATGGTGGATATTGTGGACGGAAAGGACTCAAGGTGGGGAAAGTGGGGGGATTGGGGGTCCCCATTAAAGAAAGAAGACAAACCTGGCCAACACCAATTTTAGCGTGTTTTGGTGTGGATCGATGGTTCATGATGGTTATGCAGTTATGCCTATAAGTCCACATGAGAAGGAATACGGAACATTTACCAAGTGGTTCACAGGGATCTCCATCGTTTTCCCCCTACAGTGTCCCTACAATGAGCTTGTATGAGCCTGTGATCGTATATACATGTAGATTACAGTATATTTCTGGAGCTGCCTCCTTGAGAGCCCCGATCACTACACCAGTGGGCTTGGAAGGGCAAAATTTAGTCGCTGAAGGGCAGGCAGGCGTCTTCGCTTCAAACAACTGGCTTGTGACCTCTGCTGGGCGTCCGCCGCTTCGCGATCGCGCCTGATTCAAGTGCGCCTGGTGAACGCCTGGATGATCTAGCAGCCCCCAGGCCATCATCAGCAGTGGAATCATCGCGATAAACCTCGAATCCAAACGCCACAGGCAGCGCTGTTTTGGGGCGCTGGCGAATCTATGCAGCACTGAACAGGGCTTGGGAATGGGATGGAATGGGGATTGAGCCCTTTTGACGGTTCATACTCCACTGGCGTCGTCTATTGTGCCATGTCATTTTTGCTCCGGGAACTACAGTATGTCATGTTCGTCTTGACAAACAAGACTTTTGTATATTTAGAAAAGCATGGTCTTTGCACCGTTTGTCTTGTTTCTTGTTTTTCATGTTTCTTCTCTGCGAATCATAGGCCCCACCGATCCCCTCTCAAGTCCCAGTCACAAGATACCCGTCGCACCGAAAAGCACGACAGTGACGCTGACCTCAAGGGCGAATTCAGCGCAGGCTGCAGGCTCAATTCTGGTGCAGATTGAATCCCCAGCTCGCTTGGCCAGCTTTGGAAGGACACATGCTAAAACTACCCTGCCAGCGTCAACTCCAACCTACCTTTTTTCGGGTTTGCATACATTCAAGTCCAACAGTAGGGTATCCTACATTTGTTGGATTTCGGGTATTCTTCCAAATCCAACCGTTCCTGGGGCTTTGTCAACCCCGCAGTCCGACCTTGCCCTCGGTTCGCTCATCTGTTGGGCGAACCGTTGGCCTGCGTCCCGTCTGGAGGTCTCGGTCGGCGGGCTAATGGCCCAAAGGCTCGGTGCGTATAAGCAATAGCCTCTAACCCTCTTGGCAATAACCTCTAACCTCATAGCGATGGCCTCTCTAACCCTACTATAGAAGCAATAACCCTCCAACATACTGTATACACGACCCCGAGCGAGCGAAGCACCAACCTTTGGTCGACCTCCAAGCGCCGGGCACCCGGAGCTCGGGTGCCGAACCACCCTGGTCAGTGGACCTTCCAGCTATATGCTTTGGAGATATATCCGTTCTTACCTGGGCCCGGATGATGAATGGTTAAAGGTTGCAGGCCTTGTCCCCCAAAAATCGTGATTGGCTTGGTTACGGGTCCTGTTACAGGTAAGAACGGACAAACCCTATTATATGCTGTTCATGTTCTCTGGTCAAACAGGGTTCGCCGGGGCCATGACCCACAGCCACATGGTAGAGGGGCATCGGACAAAAGCACAACCACATCGTGTGTGTTTTGGTGTTTTGTTGGCCCAATATGCAACTGACTATAGTGCCAACTTTAATCAGGAATGTGCAACCTCAGGTTTGTAAGCAACACCCTTATTTTGTGGCTATTGGCTGCAACAGGTGTACATGTAAGCCTACTTGGATCTGGACTTGGAGTGCGTTTGGGGTGCAACATGGAGATCCATATTAATAAGCAAGGCAGTGGGCCTAGCTGATTGGTGACCACTCCAGCGACCTTTTCATCTTGTTGATCAAAAGTGAATCAAAACCATTAAACTAGCAAACCTAACTTTCTAGATAGCATGCATGCCTTTCTGTTGACAACCACCGCTGCCTCATGTCCCCTCCACATTGCTTCATGTCCCATCACCCAACCATTCGCCGACGGAGAGCCCATCAATCATGTTCTGTTGGGAATTCATAGAGGGGTCGAAGCCGGGTACACCAACTCGGGTACCAACTCGTGACTCGTGAAGCCTCTGGGTGCGTTCCTCACGAAACGGGTGTGTGTATCATCCCTCTCGCTTGTCACCGACCTAGGGCGTCTTTCGTTCATCCACACTCCGTGCCATCCCAGCGGCGATCTCCTCATGCACCTCCCGCAGCTCCATGGGGCTGGGCAAGACCTGAGGAAACCGACAGCAGGAAAGGAACCGCTGGAACGGCCACCGAAGTGGCCGCCAAAGAGACACGGTCTCACTCTTGGTAACACACCCATGCGTTCAAAGAGGAATCTGAAACCATGTATATATTATAAGATTCAGATCCTGAACACTTTTTTCAAATCCAGGATGCCCTTTTTCAACGAGATGCCATAATGCCTGAAAGGACTTGCAGTACAAACCTATTTCACCTGAGCCTTCTTGAAAGGGGTCTTGGCCTGTGCAAAGAATAAACATACTGTAAGAAGTAAAATCATACTGAAAGAATAAACCCCACCAAAAATAAACAGTTCCCCTATGAACATCATATGAACATCTATGAAAAGTAGTTTCTCTTGACTGGAGCCGTGGATGAGAGAAAAACGTAAAGCTGCGACCTCGCCAGTTCTGCGCTGCCCCGGCCATGGGGGCGCGCCAGGTCTTCGATAAGAAGGCCTCGGGATCCAAGGGATGACCTCCTTACAGGAGGTCCCCAGCCTTACTGTAGAACCTCATATTGAAATAAGAGTGATCAGGAAGAACTTCGGAAGAACAGATTATGATCCTGTGTATAGTTCAGGCCTGTTTTAGTTATGGTCCAATTCAATATTCGATATATTACTCGGCCGGTGAAAATCACATGGACCACAACTCAAATCCAGGTGTTATTTAACATGGAGCTGCTGGAAACGGTGACTTACTGGGGAAACGGACATTATTAGCGCTACCCGCCACGGACCATTTCCTGCCATACACTATGGACCATTCCCACTCTGTCCATGGTCCCAGGACCAACTGCAATCAGAACACAGGCTAACATAGACTGCGCCGGTAGAGGTCAACGTAGCCAGGTGGAGGCTAACATAGACCACGCCAAATACGTCCAGCGGCTCTCTGAATTAGTCTCAACAGAGGTAGGTGCGAAACCAGACTAGCACTTAGACTAACAGATTATTGTCTCTGAATAATTATCATATGGCATATTTTTTTTGATGTTCCTATGTGTTCCTTATGCCCTTATGATTGGAATAATATTTAATGATATTTAATGTACGTACAAGTAAAGCTTTAATAACATGGTTTTGTTCTGGTTTGGCACTTCCTGAGGTACAACCAACCACCCAAAGCGGTGCTCCAACGGTCTCATGGCGCGCGCCTCTCGTCCGACAGTCCCATGTCCCCCTCTCGCTTCGTCCACGGGGGCTTGGTGGGAGGGACCGACCCGCGTCGTTCCGCCCAAGGCACATCCACATGGCTCACGCGCGCGACGAGACCGGCCACAATGACCTGACCGGCTCGGTCCCGGTGCCGCGAGAGGGCCGGTCAGTCTCACCGGTCCGTGTGGAGGACGCGTTGGATGCCTTTTGTTGGGCGCCCACTCGGGAGAGTGATTGAACGGTCGGCATCCTGAAGAAGCATGGCCAGTGTTTCACCGGATCTTAGTCTCAGACCACAATACCATGGTCAACATTTACTTTAATGGTCTTTAAAGGCTATAGAGCTTATCCAATCGGTTTGTCTGCGGATTATATTCCACCCCAATTCAGCCCAGCTGTTGTGTCAGGGTGCAGTCCTTCCCCGATGGCAGTCTATGGCAGTCTATGTGCTCCGAATCATCCACGTCAACATATCCCAGACGCTCCATGTATGGTACATATGCCTACATTGACCCCTCAAACCACCCCAATGTAGGCATATATACCAGTCCCATGGAGCGTCTGGGTATGAGAGACCTCGTGCGAAGCTATGTGAACCTTGCCGTTTCGGCGCGGTTTCGATGGAAGAGCTACAAGTTGCATGTGTCAAAGATCCAAAGACCATGTCACATTGTGGTGACCTGATCAATTTTGAAAAGGGGTATATGTTATATTATATACTTTCCTTTGGGATCCTTTAGAGTAGAATGCTGACTGTGACTATCATAAGTCATAAAACTTATATGGAGATCTTTGACTGTCGACTATCCATAGTCAACAGATGTCAACAGGTCGGTTTTACTCGTCAACAGTCAACATAGATACACCCTGCTTTGTAGATGATCGTTGTACATGACTCGGGGAATCTGAAAACAACATGCGGCGGCGGCGGTTGGTAGAAAACACACGCCAAAGACCAGCATGACTAGTTCCTTTGGATAGCTATCAAACCACTTGGGACATTTTGAATCTGGCAGTAAATCTGGCACTCGGGTGGTTCTCAAACTGCTATGAGCAAACACGAAAAAGGATCCAACCCTGGCACGCAACATTGCCAAATTGCCCCTGAGGAACACCAAAACCAGGAGCTGACTTGTGACTTCTGGCAAGAACCCTTGCCCAGGTCGCGTGCATGCCGTTATCTTCACCGCACATCGTAAGTTGCAACAAAGGCACCTTGCTCCATTCTTGTAGCGTCTGGGGATATGGCTCCGACTCCCAGGCAGCATCCCTGGCAGCAGGTGCTGGCGCATCCGTTGTGATGACCGACTGACTCGAAATAAGTCGAACGACCTTCCGAAGCCGTTTTTACAAGTGACCCTCCCTCCAACAAACATGGTTACGTGGAACATGGCCGCTTGGAAGACTGCTTTCCTCTACAAAACCGGTGGTTTTCAGGGAGGGTCAACCTCACAGTTTCCCCATGTTTCCCCCGTCTACACTCACGAGTCAACTCACACATGGCACCACCCCGAGTTCTTGCTGGCACCCCCCGGGTTTTTCCGACTGCCACCGAACGAACGCTGCTGCTGCTTGAACGCAACGTGGGGGTCCATCAGGGGGGGGATCCATGGGATCGCTTTTCAGCGGGCGATGTGTTCGATGGGACGAAACACAAGGCTGGTCCGCTGCTCATGTGGCGTCCGCGCAAAGGATCCGGACCGCAGGACGAGTCCGTCTGCAGATCCAAAGACACGGCATGACACGGCCCATTTAAACCAAACTGTGCGGAATTGTGTCATGTTGGCCAACAAAAAACATTACATATATTGCAGAATGCCTTGGTCCATTCATTCACATGTGTTAAGTAAAGGTTCCATTCTGAGGTTCTTCACCTAACCTTGTGATAAAACAATAATCTCTGTCGCTGGTTTGTAGGGGTAGCCCCTGGATAGTATCCCAAGCTAGCAAACTTAATCCAACAAAGAAAAGATATCTCAGTGGGGGACCTAGATTAATTACCTAACGGTGGGAGTACAAATAGAAAACATCAGTCAGGCTCTACCCAAACCTTTGCAAACAACTGATAACGATCTCTCATAGCTCGTCCCGTGGATGACCAGTTGGGGAGTGGGGAGGGGAGCACTTTTCAATTTGTTGACGGACAAATCTGAACCTTATGTTACAAACACAACACCAACAGCAACATTTATTACAGTTCTTCCTAAAAGGATCCAAGCCATGTTTATTATGTGATCATGTCACTTCATGCGCCTGCCCTGCAAACAGTTTGCGGGATCTCTTTGATGCAACGCTGTACAGTGACACTGGGATTGTCTGGTTATTGTAGCTGCTCATTTCATCAACTACACGACGATATCGAACCCGCATCGAACCAGTTCATCAGATCCTGTCTTAGCAAACCTCGCCCTTGTCCTTTTCTTCTACTGATTGAAGAAGATCCGAAGCCGAAGCCTTTTCCTTTCGCGAGTACTGAGCCATTTCCTCGGCTCTCCGCGCTTGGTTCTTGGTTTGGTCATGGAAGACGACCCCGAAGCCCAACCGGAAACGTGGTGGAATTGCATCGACCTCTGCCGGTGTCACGCCGAAACGTCCTTCTCGTCTCACCGACTCACGGACCCCACGTCGCCTGCCCAATTCGTCCAAAGGTAGTAGCCCGGTGCGTCCTCGGTGTCCGGTCACACCGGGCAGCCGGGCACCTTCCAAGACCACGTGAAAACCAGTGGTTGACCTCATGAAACCGTCAAAAACCATCAAAAACCCTTGGTACAATAGTGGTTCTGCATCACCTTGTGACGCGGAATTGAGGTTAAGAATGGAGGTTACACGGTGACTCACGCAGGATGGCAAAACAACGCTGAATCAGGCTGACAACGCCGACATGGTGCGAACGAAGGTGTTCTGCGAGCAAACGAAGGTGTTCACGTGTTCACGCTGAAACTGGGGAAATTGAATGCCCCCTTAAATGGGCAGCATTCACACCAAATCCAACTGCATGCGCCCGCTTGGATATCTCTTCACCCGTGAATGTAACGCTACACATTGTGAACAGTCAGATATAGGACAGGTGAAACGATGGGTGGGAAAAAGTAAAACTATGTCATCAGGAAAGAACCTATATGCCACACTTCCTATCTCATCAGGTCAAAACATACAGAAATGACCCTGGCACACACACACATTGATGTTGTCTCATAAATGATTGAGATCTTAAAACACACATGACCTAGGAGTCTGCCACCAACATAGCATGTGGCAACATGTGGCAACTAGGGGATAAGAAAGGAAAGCGGCAATCAACTGTTACAACTCCAGAGCGACTACCTAGTTCTTTCAGTGGACAAAAACTAAAGGAGCCGGCAAACAACTGTTAAAATTCCAAAGCAACTGCCAAGTTTTTTAGTGGGAAAAAACTAAAGGAGCATGCCTAAGTCATGGAAGCTTTCATTAGTAATGTTTTCCCCTTGGGCACGATACTCTATGTTCTTTTTTGAACTACTGTACGTATACTGGCAAAACGTCCATGCTTCCGATGTCATCCTACTGTGTCCTACTTTTGGCAACCTTCTCTACTGACTGATGACTTAGACGCTCTGGCCCACAACTCCTATGTCACTAGCCCAAGCCCAAGCCGTTTGGTCACCGTATGGTCCTACGAAACTCAAACGGCCATTGCTTGACATGACTCGGGTCAGGTCCCTGAAGAGTTCTGTCGGACTCTGTTTGGTGAAACTTTGAAGCCTACATGGGTCGTTCTGCCAGCACCGATATGTGAAATTTCACGAATGAACAGCTTCCATGACAGCAAACACCCGGTGCGCAATGCGAACCACTGCATGCAAAACAAGTTGGGCACATCTACGATTCCCAACTTGTCATCCATTTGCCGCCCACTGCATGAAGCTGATGGCACACCATTGCCAAATGCCAGATGGCCAGCCCGGGGTGCGACCGATAGGGTGGACGGCTGGTTTCCGATGAGCTCCAACCGTCCGGGACCCTTCCATCCCATGGTGCGTCTCCACGGCACGTCGGGCCCGCGGAGCAGGGTGCGTCCGCAGGGTGGACGGAGATGTCATAAATATGATGTCATGTGACCGGAGTGGTCAGACGTCGGATGGAACGGGAAGCTGTCCCTCTATGTGCAGCTGTCCATCCCACATGTGCGGTGCATGTTCGTGGACGGTGCGAGGAGGTCTCGAGGTCTCGCTTTCCAAGACTCGACCGCGTGGGTTTGTTCCACCTTTTGGGAGTGAAGGAAGCCACATGTCCATCGTGGTCCAGAAAGACACGGTGTCGTTGTCCCCACCACCACCCATCGTGAGACAAGA